ACAGTCACTTTCTCGTCGAACCCACAGAACACACTCGGATCTCTCCACATAGACTTGCGAACGTTCTGCGCACTCCTAGTAGCCCAGACCCCCGACGTCGTGTTTTTTCACAACGTCCACCCTCAGAAGTCTGAACCCCTTCCCCGGGACCTGCGTTTTGTCCTGCGTCGTTTTTTGACGGTCCCGAGGCCCGGCGAGGGCCCCTGGGGGCCGAAAATATGGAAAAACCTCCCGTCGCGTTTTTTTCGCAACGCGAGGAGGTCTGGGAAATCCGATGGGGAAACTGAACTCTGGGGCAAATCGGTTCTGTCGTCGATCCCCCACTCGAAGGCTGGAACGCCGCCGAGAACCGGCCAAGGCCGGCCGAGGCGTCCGCGTTCGCGAGGTTCCGAAAGTTGGTGTCTGTGCCGCTGCTCTTCGATCCTCGCCCTCCTCCTCCTCCTCCTCCTCCTTCTCCTTTTCCTCCTCCTCGATCCTCCTTTTCCTCCTCCTCCTCCTCCTCCTCCTCCTCCTCGTTGTTTCGAGGATATCTCGAGCGAGAGCCCCCTCCGCGCCCAGCAGGTCGGCGGCCTGCTCGGCGCGGACGGCGGTCTGAGCTGGCTGGGCTCCGAGCCAAACGGTCAAGACGGCGGGGGCAGGAGCAAATCCCCTCAAAATCCAGTCCTGGTTCTCTACTTGCTCTTCCCGCTACTGCGCCCTGGCAGCGCCCGCGGGTGCGCCCTGGCCCCGGCCCCAGCTGCTGCCGCGGACCCCGCTGCACTGGCTGGGCCACTCCCGCCCGCTCACCGCGGAATTCTTCCTAGTCTGAGCGCCTGCACTCGTACCAAGCTCAAGGACGCGCTAACAGCGAACCGAAGGCATAATGACGGGGGGTTTGACCCCGGCTACCCCCCCCAAAGGTTAGAGCGGAGCGCGCAACCGCCTGCGACCCCCGACCGCCTTCAACCCGCGGGAGTGCCCAATCGGCCTCTCAACTTGGGTCTGATTCCTTCATTTTAATGTATGATTTGTTTGTGAATCAAGGAATCATTTTAACAGCCAAGGGCCTTTGCTATGCAGCGGGAGATGCGCCACCCAACTTCGGGGACAGGGGCCGGGAGATACGCCTCTCAACTGTGGAGGGGCCGTTCGACGCCTAGTCCGGTGAATTGTGGCGAGGCGTGCAAGCTCGCTTCACGAGCGCCCCAGAAATCGGTTTTGCGGGTTCCAGAGTGCCACTGTCACACGTTCCCCCATCTCCGTCGACCGATGGCCTCCAAGGTGGCCTCAAGAGGCATTCCAGCTTCCTCAATAAAAGTGCCCCAGGAAAACTCCAAGATGGCCCCTGGAAGGCCCCAGGGCGCCCCCAAAAGCCCCCTAACAGACCTCAAGACACCTCAACGCCCCCAGAAGACCCCAAGGGGACCCCGAGGGAGCACCAAGAGGACCCCGCGAGGGCCCAAATCAGACCCCACGGTTGCTTCAAGAGTCTTTGTCCTCGTCGTTCTTCCCCTCCTCCTCCCCGACCGGAACTTGTACGAAAGCAGATATGAAATCTCTGATGTGCGCAGGGTCTTGTCCTAAGCGCGGACACCTTGATCTTGAGCCATAGTGGTTGGTCACGGAGGGGTTTCTGGAGGACCTCTAAGGCTGTCTTGGGGAAGCCTGTCGGGCCGTCTGGGGGCCCTCTTGGCGTCCAGTCGCGACGTGTTGGGGCAACCCATCGATCCTGCTGAACACGCCCGTGGAAATTGCCTTGTCCTGGGGGTCGGCGAAATGACATAAGCCTCTTGAATACATTCATAGACGCATCGCTTCCCATATTCTGTAGGCCTTAGTCTCTCCTCCCCGCTGCCTATACTTTCCCACGATTTCCCGGTAGTCGACGATTAATTGTGTCTGTGTGTTTTTCCCTCTCCCGATAGCAGAAGAACAACAAAAACACATAAACATCAACGTTTGGCGCTCCGCGTGGATTTCTTGGATCTGCGCTGGACCCCCTTCCTGGCGCGCGGAGCGCACCAGGGGCGGCGCTTGAGGCGCCGCCGGGGGGGGCCCAGCGCGGATCCAAGAAATCCGTGCGGAGCGCCAAACGTTTCTGTTGATGGCGTTTTTTTCTTCGAATTAGAAGCGGCCAACGCGGCGCAGCCGCTGGACGCTGGAACGCACACCGAAGCTGGAAAACCGCCGAAGACCGACCAACGCGTCAGAGAATCTCGAACCGCGGGCCCGGGGCTCAGTACCAACATCGAATTGGTCCGCCGCATCGGATCGAAATGTGTCTCGGATCGGGCTGCATTGGCACGGAACCGAAATCGAATCGGATCGGCTGCGCCAGCATGCACAACACCGCCGTGTAAACATCGAGACGCATCGGATCGTCGGAAGATCGGAATCGAATCGGATCGACATGACAAGAACCGACACATAAGTGGATCGACTGGATCGAAATCGACCCTGGAGCCCCATTCGCCCCCCTTTTCGTTTCCCCCTCCGCGCCGCCGCTCCTCGAAGGTCCCGATCAGCGGGTACACCGCATCCCCAGCGTTTTCCACGCTCACCTGACAAAAAGCGGGCTTCACAGTCAGCATCGGCAGTGAGGACACAAGGTAAGGATGCAAAACCCTTAAACCTTCCAAGCTGGACGCTGCTGGATGTCGAAAATGGCCAAGGATTGGCCGAAGAGGCAAAGATGAAGGACGCCCTTGCGGAAGTACCACGTCCCCACCGTGGATTATCCGCGCTTACTTGAGCGACGACAAAAAGCGGGCCCTACTCCATAGATTGCAATGTAAAGAGAGGGGGGCCACAACCCTCCCAGACGAGCAATTTCACCCCCCCAAAACCTGCCATGAAGGGGCGGCCCACTGCGCAGAACCCCATGGAACCCTCCAAAACAGCTCAAGTTGGAGCCCCCAGACAATAAGACCACTCCTCTGTTAAGGTGAATTCCGGAGTGCGCACAATGACGCGGCGACCTTATTCTGCGGCGTACGCGCAGCACGCCACGCTGGAAACGAGGGCGCTTACTCTGGATCGGGCAATCAACGCCCCCCTCTTGGACCTGTATCCGCGCGGGCGTTTGGGCACGCGTTGTCGGAACGGGTAGGGGAATTCAAAGAAGAGGAGGAAGAGGAGGGAGGAAAAGGAGGAGGAAGAGGATGAGAAGGGATAGGAGGGGCAGGAGGGAGGAGGAGGAGGAGGAGGAGGAGGAGGAGGGACGGAAGGAGGGGGGGAGGAGAAGGGAGAAGCTCGAAATGGAAATGTAGAAAATGAGAAGGCGCTCTTTTCAGTATCCTCGTGAAGGCGGGATGGTATCTAGTCAGTGGGAACATACCAGAAGGCGCGTCTAAGGTGGGCACGGGAAAATCCCCCCCCGCCCCCCGCGCGCAAAAGGCAACGGAACGGGGGGGGCACTACAGTGCAAGGCAGGCAAAGCTGAAAATATACAAATAATCTTCCTTCTTTTCGAATCTGGCGAACAAGCCCGTCCGTCGTGCGTTCAGGAAAGCACTGTAAATGAGGGCTCTACGAACCGCTCCTTTCATAAGAAAAAATGCCTAGTCGTAAGAGGACAGGTTCAACTGAGCTCAGCGGGCCACTGGGCTGGCGGAGTTCACTCCACTCCAACCAAGGCACATTGACCCCCAGCGGCGCGAACCGCAAAAACACTTTACGGCGCCAGTGGCAGGACTGGAACCCCCGCCAGAGCCCGCGGGACTAGCCGAAACAGGCGAATTTATCTCCCACCTGAAAAGTGCGAGACCATTAAGAAGCGCTGCCAAGCAACCGCGAGCTGCCCGGACACAGTCCAGGCAAGTCCGCTCACTCGAGTGCTCTACTCATCGATCTCGACCGCTGATGTCGCATATCCGCTTTCCGACTCCGTGGGGCGTCGCGACGCAGTCACGAGAGTCAGCCCCTTCTTTCTGCGTGTGTGAGCTATGCTGCGATCTCGGGGCGGCCTTCTTCAGCTTCTCGTCGCTGAACTTGGCCGCGGCGTGGTCATAGCTGATCTGGCCGCCCATCGCGCTGAGAATCGGCCCATGGTGCCCTCGGTCATTGGGTCGGCCCGCATGCCCCGCATGTCGCACGACAGTAAGTCGTCACTCTGCATGGTGCGCAGCTGGTCGGCTAAACACCGCAGGCGGCCAGGCGCGCCGTTCATGGGCGGCGGCCGGACCGGGTCCACGAGCAGGGCGCTGACCACGGACCTGCCGTCGATGACGAAGTCTGCAGGGATCGCGCAACCCCCTTCCCCCCTCGGCCTCCTGATCGCATCGGCAGAGGCGTGGCCGTGCACCATCTCGCGCAACGCGAGGAGGTGCGCCGGCAGACCGTCCGCTTCACCGCGTGCTATGCGCGCACCTCGGAGCCGAATGAGGATTTGCATGCGAACTTGCGCGTCCGGTTCGCAGCGCCCAGCGGGTGGCGCAACTGTTTGCCGGCGCGGCGGCACTTGCTGAGGCGCTTGTATACGGCTCCTCGCATGCCGCATCCTGACTCCTCCTCCCCCCTCTAGAATCGAGGAGGACCCGTCGCTATGCGCGCTGAGTCGCCCGGCGCGCCCCCTCGATGAAACTGCGGCGCGCGCCTTGATCTTCTGCGCGGCCAGAACGACGGACTTGAGCTGCATCGCGCGTCGGATGAGCAGCTCGTTCTTGGCTCTCTGCACGGCGACAATGCGCACTGCGACGCGGTGCTGGGCAAGCAGGGCGTTGGCCGCTGCTCCCAGGAGAGAGACGCAGAGGTCGGGATGCTGACCTCCAGCTGGCTCGTCAGCCTTGACCTCGACCAGGTCGACGTGTCTGATCGGCATCAGGGCGTCGAGGTACTCGCGCTGGTCGAGCGTCGCGGTTCCATCGGCACTGCGGTGCCGGTGCGTTCCGTAGTTGGTGAAGCCGTCGTAATCGCCCTTCATCTTGCCGAAGACGCTCTCGACGCGGCCGATTCGCCGGTCGACGCGCCACGTTTGCCCATCGAGCTTCAGGTCGTCAACGTGCTTGGACAACATGAACACCAGCTCCGAGACGCCGGCGGCACAGCCGCCAGACGTCGCGCGCGTGACCTCGCGCTCTGGGCCCCGCCCGGCAGGCTTAGCGCTGCTCAGGTGAGCGCGCGGCCCCACCGAGCTTCACGGAGAAGGCCCGGGGCGCACCCTTGCAGCCCGTGCCCGGCCTGATGCAGCGCAGGCATTCGGCCCTCTCGTCGATGCTGTCGTGGCCAGGCACCTGCCTGAAGATGGCTGCGCTGCCAGGTGGCGGGGTTAAGTTCACCTCTAGGTGCTTCGCCCTGCTCCTGCATCTCTGCGTGGGTCGCGCCTTGCGGGGCGCCCGCGGCGACGCGCGCCCGGTCGGGGCGGCGCGCCGCCTCTGGGGATAGCGCGCGCTGAGACACCCGCTTCGATGACCCAGCGAACGCATCCAGGACTCTGGCGTCGATGTCGAAGAATCCCCTCAGCGCCGTGCGGCGCTGGGTGTTCCCGGCAGTCTTGCAGTCTGATGCCTTCGGGTGCTTCCACTTGAAGACGCGTCTGGGGCCCATTGCGTCTCGGGCGCCCTTGATCGCCGCCTCTCGCAACGTGTGCATTTGACCCACATGGTGGGCTCCTCGAGGATGGCCGCTGCAATCTCCTTCGACAGCCTGGGCGCTTCCTCGTTGGACAGGAGGTTGGCGCCGCGCTGGATGACCGCGGCCTTGACGGCGGCATAACTGTTAACCGCGGCTGTCTGAGGAGCGCTGGCGACACTGTCGCCGGACGCAGCCGTCTGAGGAGCCCAGGCGACAGTCGCCGGACGCAACCTCGTTGAAGCTAAGGAATGCTTCGCGCGCCCCTGGATCCAGGAACAACGCCACCTGTCTACCCACAGCGTCCTCCTCGTCTAGCGTGGATTAGTCGCCCAAGGAGGCCCCGCGCAAATAGTGGGCGGATGCTCCGACGCCGGCACTGCGCCTCGAGGCGCCGGGGCCACTCGCATGGCCCGCGGCCAGGGTCGGCCGCGGCGTGCTCGACGGCAGCGGCGATCTCATGCCGTCTGTCGGCGCTCTCCAGCTACGCAGGCTCCTGGGCCAAATATTATGCCCCCTCGTCTTCACGACGAGCTGCCAACGTCACCTCTTGGATGTGGTCGAAGAAGTCGCCGCCAGTCTCCTCTAACATAGCCGACAGGGCCGACGGTGATCCACCTTCGGCGGCGCTGGCGGTGTCCTCGGGAACGTCAGCAACGCAGCCATCGAGCGTTACGTCCAGGTCCTGTCTGGCATCTGTCACCAATCACGGCTCATCGCCCAAGTTGAACAGGATGACGCGAGCTTCCTTCCAATGCTCGCCGATGGGCTGGTGGGCGTCGAACGCGACGCCGTCGAGGTGGATGTGCTGGACGTCGGCGGGGTTCCGAGGGAATCGCCAAATGGCAAGTCTGCGGGTGCGCCCCGGCCAATTGCCCACAGATGTCTGTCCGCAGATGAGTCGCGCAGCGCGGGCGCCAGGTAGTTGAAAGCATCTGCGGGACAGAAAGCGCAGGACTTCGAGAAGAGCTGCCCGCCCATGGTGTCATGCCAGTGGCCGAGAAGTCCTGGCCCCGGAGCCTAGCGCCACGTGCTCCAAGTCACCCCTACGCGGAGCCCGGCCCAAAGCCAGCTCGCGCCATGCCGATGCCCATCTCGTCGAAGACAGCACCGATGAAGGCTCCGACGTCTTGCAGTCTGCAGACCACCTCGGCTCGGCGGTACTTGACCACCACCCTGCTACGAGCCAGATCTATAGACATGAATGTCCCAGGGCCCGCCCAGCCTAACACATCCTTGATGCTTCGCAGCCTTTGGATATCCACCTGGTCGCCCCGCGTTGAAGCGGCCGCCCCGAACTCGGCGGCGCGGGTCCTAAGGGCGCGGCTGACGCGTGGGATCGATGTGGTTTCGATCATACGTTGCGGAGCAATCTCGCGGATGCGCCGCTGCAGTAGGCTCGGCTGCACTTCCCCACCAGCAGGAGCCTCGGCACCGGCCGCGCAATCGCTGGATGCCTCGCCCTGTCCGTCTGCCTCGAGCGGTGGCAGCGTGGACGGCTGCTGTCCGAAGACGACGCTGCATGGCGCCACGTGCTCACGCGGGCGAGGCCGTTGCCAGCAAAGATGGCACTTGCAAGCATGGAGGCGAAGTTTGCTGCGATGCTTTCGCGCCCCAGCTGTTCCTCCGAGGCGCGAATTGGTTGTCTCAGCAAGGCCCCGCGGCCCCGCGCCGCTCGACGAAGAGAGCGTGCTGGCGCGGAGCACGTGTCGACCTGTACTCATATCATCTCACATCTCCTCTCCTACGTAGAGGTCGCCCCGCCCTCGCAGTCCACGATCAAAGTCTCCATCGGGCCGAACAGCTGGACCCGCGAGCGGTCGATGGCAGCAAGCAGCGTCGGGTCGTAGTGGGACGTGACCTCCTGGCCATTATGCTTCCGCGAAGCGCAGCATATCAGGTGGAAAATCATGCGATCCTTGTAGAACAGGATGTCGCACTCGACGTGCGGGTTGAATCGTGTCGAGAGAAGGAGCGTAGGGATTGTCTGGCG